GGAGACCCTTGCCCACAGACATCCACCACTTCTATCCTTTGGCCTGCCCTGCTAGAGGCACAAGCCCTGACACACGTTGCCAGAGGGGTAACATGCTTGTAAGTGCCGGATGGGGCTTTTGGGAAACCAGGGGAGACAACAGCCTCTGCAGGGCCCTTGGCAAACTGGGATGGGGTGGAGCTGGCTCTGACCCCTCAGAAGGGGCGGAGCTTTTGGCTGAAGGGGCAGGGGCAACCTCCACTCCTGCCCTGCTAGAGGCACAAGCCCTGACACACGTTGCCAGAGGGGTAACATGCTTGTAAGTGCCGGATGGGGCTTTTGGGAAACCAGGGGAGACAACAGCCTCTGCAGGGCCCTTGGCAAACTGGGATGGGGTGGAGCTGGCTCTGACCCCTCAGAAGGGGCGGAGCTTTTGGCTGAAGGGGCAGGGGCAACCTCCACTCAGGACCTCCCAGAATGCATTGTTCCACCCAGAGGGCCATTCATGCTCCCCTGCCCTTGACCTCCCTCCCCCATGAAGCTTCAGCAGCTCTGTCTCTCCAGGCAGCCCTAAGCACTTAAGAGCCACCCAGAACACACTGCACAGGGCTCCGGTGGCGCTTTAAAGGTCCCAGGGCTCCGGCCACCCTGCTGTCACGGTATCAGCAACAGCAGCCAGCAGCACTGGGCCCCTTGGAATCACCAGGCCCTGCCATGTGGCTGTGAAGCCAGACCATGCCTGCAGCAGAGGACAGATGGAAAGGGGCCACTAGAGCCATCCCGGGGAGCATAGAGGGACAGGGAGCTGGGTTGAGTGCGCTATTGCTCCCTGACTGATTGCTCAGATCAGTAATGGATGGGGATTGTGTAACATGCTTCCTGCATGCATCACAGCGCCCTCTGCTGGTTGAACTGCATGGAGGGTAAAAGCCAACTACTGCTGCCTACCTGCTGTGGTGCCTCTCTTACTGACATGGTGGAGCTGTGGGGAACCCCCCAGGAGAGGTACCTAGCATTACAAAGTGAAGGCCCTGGAAGGAAGGGAGCTCTACACACCCAACACACCTGAGGGACGTCTCCTCTCTTTGGGCCTTGCAGATCCAGCTTAAGAAACTTTTCCTGCTTCCTCCTTATTTTTTTGGTGCTCAAGAGTCGGTCTCTCTAGTGCTCACTGTCCCGTTAGCGCATTAGTGTCGCAACGGGCTGACTTTGCATTCAATGCCTCTTGGATGAACAATTTCTGTTTTGTGAAAAAATGTCCATTATGCACAAAAAATTAATTTCAACACAAACATTTTGAAATTGAGGGGGATAGGCAGGCAACGAGGGAATCATTTCGGAGGGAGGGAGGGTTTGAAGGTGGATACCTCCTAAATTTTGGATGAATAGTTCAGTCCCTCCAAGAAAGAAAGAGCCAAATTTAGAGCAACAAAAATCATTTCCTGAGCAGCTGCCCTTCCTCCATTTTGGGGGCACAGAGACGAGTCCTTCTACATGACACATTTGTTTCAAACAGACAGACAGACAGACAGCTATGGCGCCTGTAAATCATGGGGGCCAAAGGTCATAGCCACAGAGGACACTAAAAAGCTCTAGTAAGTCTGAGCCAGATTCTATGTCTAATGGAAACCAAAGGGAGTTAGGAACCCGCATTGCTGAGGGGTTTTCAAGCGCCCTCCAAGCCCTCACATGCATCCCTTTCTCGAACGGGTCTGTAACCAGAGCTGGGTACCAGAGAGGCCTCAGTGTTGTTCTTTCATTTCTCGTTTTCTCTTCCCCTTTCCCAGGAGACCATGCCCAATATCGCCGTGCTAGGATCGGGCGGGGGCCTGCGGGCCATGATCGCCCTTCTGGGAACCTTGGCGGAGATGCAGAAACAAGGCCTGCTGGACGCCGTCATGTACCTGTGCGGGGTGTCGGGATCCACCTGGTAGGTGCACGTCTGTAGAAGGGAGAATGAACAACTTTTCCTGAAGAGTTGGAGCATTCTTATGATGATTCAATCCTGAACATTTTCCATGCGTTGTGAGTGACGTCTTCAGAAGCACCTAGGGGTGTGTCCACTCCACACTCAGGGAGCATGGGGTAATGCATCCAATTCCGGCCCCCCACTACAGAAAGGATGAGGGGGCATTGGAGAGAGTCCAGCAGAGGACAACAGAAGTGAAGAGGGGGCTGGAGCTCATGACCTACAAGGAGGGGCTGAGGGATCTGGCCTTGTTTAGTCTGAAGAAGATAAGAGTGAGGGGGGATTTGAGAGCAGCCTTCAACTCCCTGAAGGGAGGTTCCAAAGAGGCTGGCGAGATGCTGTTCTCAGTGGGGGCAGATGGCAGAACAAGGAGCAATGGGCTCAAGTTGCAGTGGGGGAGGTCTAGGATGGATTTCCCTAGACGGGTGGGGAAGCACTGGGATGGGTTTCCTAGAGAGGGGGTGGAATCTCCATCCCTAAAGGTGTTTAAGTCTCGGATTGACAAAGCTCTGGCTGGGATGATTGAGTTGGGTTGGTCCTGCCTTGGGCAGGGAGTTGGACTCGATGACTCCTGAGGGCTCTGCTAACCCTGGGGTTCTCTGATTCTATGATTTTCAGTGCTTCTATATCCTGGGAAATTTCCCGAATTTGGGGAGTTTTTGAGTAAAATGTGTCAAAATGGGAAATTGAGAATTTTCTTGAAATCTGTTAAATCCTGGGAAATTTTCAATGAAATTAAATTTTTGGTTCATTTTGTCGTTCCTTTGGAATAAAAATTTGCGGACGATTCAGATTTATCAAAAACTGCTCTCAATTGGTGAATAGGGTTGCCTGTCAATTATTAGAACTCTTTGAACTTGATGCTAAAAATTGTACAGCGGAAGGCATTTATACTAAATTCAAGGAGTCAATGTTCAAAAAAAATATCCCATTGAATAATTTTTGGGTGTTGCTTGTAATGGATATGACATTAGTCTTCTTGGCTACAAGGGCGCCCTCTTGACTCATCCTCAGCTTCTCCTCCTCTGTCCCTCCCAGGGCCTTTTTCTGCCAAACTGCTGCTTAGCCAGTCATTGTCCACCCTGTACCAATGCCTGAGATTGTTCTGTCCCAAGGGCAGGACTCTGCCCATGTCCTTGTTGAAGCTCGTCAGATTTTTTTTGGCCCAACCCTCCAATGTGTCTAGGTGACTCTGATCCCTTCCCTCCAGCGTATCTACCTCTCCCCCCAGCCTTGGCTTTCAGCAGAGGGTCTTGGCTCTCTCCCTGTGACTGGCATGAATTTCCTAGTGGCCATGGTGACAGGCAGCCACGGATGGATTTCTTGTGAAGTCACAGCAGTGTTAGAACTTGTCCGGATGATCGTTCTGCCTGGGAAACAGAAGGTTGGAGATGAAAAGGGGGAAGGAGGTGCCCTCTTCTACGTCCTTAGTCTCAGCCGCACCCCTCTCTGGTTCATTCCAAGGTGCATGTCAACTCTCTACAACGAGAACAACTGGGCAAAGAACATAGAGGGCTTGGAAAAAGAGCTGTGTGAAAAACTTTCCAAGGATACCTGTCATATTAGGGAAGAGTTTCGTTTGTTGAAACAGGCAGCTGAAGATGAACTTTTCTCTCTGACCGATGTGTGGGACACTTTCTTTGTCTATAGTGTATTGAAACTGGTAGGTTTGCATGTAAATCCAGAGTGTTTCTCTCTCTCTCTCTCTCTCTTGGCAGTACTTGGGATTCAGGAATAAAAGAGTGGAAGGATGAATAACTCCTGCTCACATTTTAAATTTTTCTGACCCCTCCTGGTAATTTTGTAGGCCCCAGCCTCTTCCCTGGAGCTGCCAAAGATCACTGTGGTATTTCCATTTCTAAAATGAGACCTTCCAGTCTGTTTAAGGGATTTGGAGACCCATTTCCCAGTAAAACTCTTGGGAATTTGGCCCTTTGGTTGTTTGTGAGAATCTCACCCTGGCATCTGATCCCCAAATCCGTGGCTTTCTGGAATGTAAATTGATATAAAAAAGAGCTAGAAGGAATAAAATTCTCAATCATACTCTTGAATTTTTAACAAAGGGTTCTTCTATCTTGCAGGGAAAAAAATGCTTAAATTTCAGGTCACTTTTTGGAGATGGGATTTTTTTCCCCATTAGCTAAACTTCCCAACAAAATCCCATTGCAAAACAACAAGTTGAAATGTTTCAGTTCAAACAGGCCCAAACAAAGCATTTCAACTTATTTGCTTTTTTTTAATCTCAGATGAAAGAATTTGCCACATTTGACCCGAATTTTTGAGTAATTTCAGAACTCCAAAAATATTTAGTGTTGGTTGAATTTACTACTCACAAAAAAATGTTGCGACTGGATTTTCCACTCCCTAATTCCTAGTAATTTGAATGGAACTTAAGTAATGGAGCTGGAAGTGTAGTTCTTACACGGAGGAGACTCACCTATGTGAGGTTTGAGCCTCTCCCCTTTGCCACGCCAGCTACACTGATATACTTATAGTCTTAACACATGGTATTTCCTCAAAGAGATAAGCAAACTGTTTTTTTCCAGCGTAGTCATGTCCTAAAGCAGTGTTTCTCAACCAGGGGTCTGAGTACCCTTAGGAGTACTTGACAGATGTCTGGGGAGTAAATCAACTTAACTGACATTTGGAGAAAACTGAATTTTTGTTTAAGTTTTACAGCGCTTGATTATTTTTGTATTTTTTACACTCAAAAATTTCATCGCTCCCTCAGCTATGATTAAGTTGTTCAAACAAATGTGTTGCAATGGTAGAAATTTTTTTTATTTGTCTGAAAACTATAGGTACAGGGGGTACTTTTTTTTTAAGGGTACTTTATATATAAAAAGGTTGAGAAACACTGTCCTAAGGCACTGACCTTGCTTAGCTGCTTTTGAAAAGCCCTTTAGACGCTGCTTTGCATCGTTAGGTGCCAAATACTTTCCAAACTCTGGATCTAATTCAGTTAGGCCCATTTGAAAATCTCCACTATGGTCTATACAGCCTTGCTTGTTTATCTGCACAGTGCATGTTAGAAGGAGGGAAAAATGATGAAGACAATGGTAGTCTTGGTGAAAAGGGTTTAATTAGTAGCCTGAACTAATTACAGGTTGACCCTCGCCAGTCCAGAACCCCTAGCTGGATGTCCACTTATCATGGGTAGGGCCAAGTTTCCAATGGTCTTATCAACTTTGTTTATAGCCACCAGCCCTGGCTCTCAGTGTTCTGTGCTGTTGTTATTTAGCTCTAATTTAGCTCAAAATGTTTTCTAAGAGCTTAGCAAGCAGAGGAAGTGTTGTTCATGCTGCTAGACCATATTGACCTCCCATGGTAAGGAAAATTCTCTGGTTCGGAACCAAGCGCCAGACTACAGAGGCTCAATCTATAGCAAGGAACAGAATTTCTAGCAACTTCACCAAAACTTTTCTTTTTCGGCACTAATCAATTCTCACCTTTCCAGCATGATCCGACCAAGTTATCTCAACACAATGATGCCTCCACAAAAGGAACTAACCCTTACCCCATCTATGCAGCAGTAGAATATAGCAAATTGAGTAAAGAAGGTAAAACAAGCCCAGGTAAAGAAATGTGGATTTTTTTCATACACCTCTCCGGTCTCTCTCCCTAAGTTTCAATCACATTTTTATTACCCCCATTGCCATAATGGTTATTGATTTTCTTCAATAAGTCAAAAAAATGGAAATTTCCCATGATTATTTCAACAGTGACGTTGAAAACAAAGCAAATGTCTATTAAATACACTTTTTATAAATGGCCCAATGTGTTTAAGAAAAGAATCTGGAAAAGGAAAAGAAGTTGGGAAACTTCAGAAAATGTGACATTGTTTTCCCCTTTTCGATGGGCTCTACCGTTAAACGTATCGTTTTTAGATTTGACTCGTTATGATGCGTTTTCCCTTTCCACCTTTCTATGGAGTGAGGGATGGGTTGGTGAAGGGGCCCCACAGCAAGAAGGATTCTGGGATATGCAAGGACAGCACATGATGGCTTAGGAGGGAAACACTAGGAGGAGGAGGACACAGGAGAAAATGACCATGGACGAAAGAAGAGACTGAAAAATGGAATGGAGTAAATAGATCAGAGAGGAAGGGGGATTGAGAATTTATTGCCCTCGGACAAAAAGGGAACAGAAAATTGGCCCTTCAAAGGGGCCATTTTACATGCCACTTGGAGAAGTTTCAGAAAAGGGCAACCAAAATACTTAGGAATTTGGAACGGGAGCCATATGAAGAGAAATTAAAGAGATGGGGCCTTTTCAGCTTAGAGAAGAGGAGACTATGGGTGTGTCTAGACTACCTAGTTTTGTTGACAAAAGTGGACTTTTTTGCCAGGACGATCGTTCTGCATGGGAACAGAAGGTTGAAGATGAAAAGGGGGAGGGAGGTGCCCTATTCTACGTCCTTAGTCTCAGCCGCACCCTCTCTGGTTCATTCCAAGGTGCATGTCCACCCTCTACAAGGAGAAGGACTGGGCAGAGAACGTACAGGACTTGGAAAGAAGCCTGATTGACCAACTTTCCAAGACTTCCTGGCATATTAAAGACGAGTTTGATTTGGTGATACAGGCAGCTGAAGATGAACTCTTCTCTCTGACCGACGTCTGGGTCGCTTTCTTTGTCTATAGTGTATTGAAACTGGTAGGTTTGCATGTAAATCCAGAGTCTCTCTCTCTCTCTCTCTCTCTCTCTTAGAAGTACTTGGGATACAGGAATAAAAGAGTGGAAGGATGAATAACTCCTGCTCACATTTGAAAGGTTTCTGACACCTCCTGGTAATTTTGTAGGTCTCAGCCTCTTCCCTGGAGCTCCCAAAGATCACTGTGGTATTTCAATATTTCTAAAATGAGACCTTCCATTTTAAGAGATTTGGAGACACATTTCCCATTAAAACTCTTTGGAATTTGACTACTCAATCCTTTGGTTGTTTGTGACAATCTCACCCTAGCATCTGATCCCAAAATCCTGGGCTTTCCGGACTGTAAATTGATGTAAAAAAGAACTAGAAGGAATGAAATACTCAATCATACTCTTGAATTTTTATCAATGGGTTCTTCTATCTCACAGGGAAAAAAGGCTTCACACAGTCCAGTGAGTGAGAGTTGAAGTTAAGGAAATTCAGACTCTAAAAAGTCTATTTTTGACAGTGAGAGTAATTGACTATTGGAACAATTTATCAAGTTTTATGGTGGATTCTTCAGCACTGACCATTTAGGATTCATTATTTATTTTTTTCCGAAAGATTATTTAACCTAAAATTATTTTCATAAATTTCAAGTAACTTCTTGGAAATGGGATTTTTTTCCCTATTAGCTAAAGTTGCCAGCAAAATTCCATTTCAAAATACCAAGTTGGAATGTTTCATTTCAAACAGGCCCAAAGAAAGCATTTCAATTCTTAATTTGCATCTTTTTCCTCAGATGAAAGAATTCACCACATTTGACCCGAATTAATGAGTAATTTCAGAACTCCAAAAATATTTGTTTTGGGTTGAATTTACTACTCACAAAAAATGTTTTGCCTGGATTTACCTAATTCCTATTAATTTGAATGGAACTTAGGTAATGGAGCTGGAAGTGTAGTTCTTACTTGGAGGAGACTCACCTATGTGAGGTTTGAGCCCCTTCCCTCTGATATTCTTATCATCTTAACACACGGTATTTCTCTCAATCAGATGAGCAAACTGTTTTTCTCCAGTATACACATGTGTTAAGGCAGGGTTTCTCAACCAGTGGTATGAGTACCCTAGGGATCCTTGAGACACATCTGGGGGGATACGTCAACAACTGAAATTTGGAGAAAACTGAATTTTTGTTTTAATTTTTACAGCACTTGATTATTTTTGTACTTTTTACACCCAAAAATGTCATCGCCCGCCCAGCTACAATTAAGTTGTTTAAACAAATGTGTGGCAAAGGTAGAATTTTTGTGTGTGTGTCTGAAAACTGTAGGGACTGGGGGTACTTTATTAAAAAAAAAGGGTGAGAAACACTGTCCTAAGGCACTGACCTTGCTTAGCTGCTTTTGAAAAGCCCTTTAGATGCTGCTTTGCATCGTTAGGTGCCAAATATTTTTGAAACTGGGTCCAATTCCCTTAGCCCATTTGGAAATCTCCAGGATGGCCTGTAAAGACTTGCTTGTTTTTTCAGCACAGTGCATGCTAGACGGAGGGAAAAATGATGAAGATGCTGGTAGTCTCGGTTTAATTGGCAGCCTGAACTAATTACTGGTTGAACCTCTCTAGTCCAGAACCCCTAGCTGGATGTCCACTTATCATGGGTGGGGCCAAGTTTCCAACGGTCTCATCAACTTTGTTTACAGCCACCAGCCCTGGCTCTCAGTGTTCTGTGCTGTTATTTAGCTCTAATTTACCCCGAATTGTCTTCTAAGAGCCCAGCAAGCAGAGGAAGTGCTAGTAATGTGGATAGACAATATTGACCTCCCGTCGTCCGGAAAATTCTCTTCTTCGGAACCAAGTGTGCTGGACTGGACAGGTTCAATCTATAGCAAGGAACAGAATTTCTGGGAACATCACCAAAACTTTTCTCTTTCGATACTAATCAATTCTCACCTTTCCAGCATGATCCGACCAAGTTATCTGAACACACGGATGCCTCCACAAAAGGGACTAACCCTTACCCCATCTATGCTGCAATAGAAATTAGCAAATTGAGTAAAACAAGCCCAGGTAAAGAAATGTGGATTTTTTTCATACCTTTCCAATCTCTCCCTAAGTTTCAATCACATTTTCATTACTCCCATTGCCAAAATGGTTATTGACGTTCTTCATTGTCCACAAAAAAAAGTAAAAAAAAAAATTCCCATGATTATTTCAACAGTGACTTTGAAAACAAAGCAAATGTCTTTTAAATACACCTATTATAAATGGCCCAATGTGTTTAAGAAACTAATCTTTTCTGTGAAAGGAAAAGAAGTTGGGAAACTTCAGAAAATGTGACATTGCTGTTCCCTTTTCGATCGGCTCTACCGTTAAATGCATCGTTTTTAGATTTGACTCGTTATGATGCATTTTCCCTTTCCACCTTTCTTTGGACTGAGGGATGGGTTGTGAAGGGGCCCCACACCAAGAAGGATTCTGGGATGTGCAAGGACAGGACATGATGGCTTAGGAGGGAAACACTAGGAGGAGGAGGTCACAGGAGAAAATGACCATGGACGAAAGAAGAGACTGAAAAATGGAATGGAGTAAATAGATCAGAGAGGAAGGGGGATTGAGAATTTATTGCCCTCGGACAAAAAGGGAACAGAAAATTGGCCCTTCAAAGGGGCCATTTTACATGCCACTTGGAGAAGTTTCAGAAAAGGGCAACCAAAATGGTTCAGAATTTGAACGGGAGCCATAGGAAGAGAAATGAAAAAGACGGGGACTTTTCAGCTTTGAGAAGAGGAGACTATAGGGAAGGTCTATAAAGTCATGACTGCTGAGGGGAAAGTGAATAATTATTTACTTGTTCCCATTACACAAGAACTAGGGGTCACCAAATGAAATTAATAGCAGGTTTAAAACAAACCAAAGGAAGTTTTTCTTCATGCAGCACATAGTCAACCTGTGGTACTCCTCGCCAGAGGAGGTTGTGAAGACCAGGGGTCAAATAAAGAGCTAGATAGATTCATGGAGGTTGGGTCCATCATTGGCTATTAGCCAGGCTGGGCAGGGAGGGTGTCCCTGGCCTCTGTGTGTCACAAGGCTGGGAATGGGCAACAGGGGGGAGGGGTCACTGGATGGTTCCCTGTTCTGTTCCCTCCCTCTTGGGGCACCTGGAGCTGGCCACTGTCAGCAGACAGGACCCTGGGCTGGATGGACCTTTGGTCTCACCCTGTGTGGCTGTTCTTACTTTCTCATGTTCTTTCCCTGTCTGTATTTCCTAGGGCCCTGGTTTGAATACACCCCCCATGAGTCTGGCCTCTCTGGCCTGGGGGCATTCGTGAGCACTAAGGCCTTGGGAAGCAAATTCCAGGGTGGGACTTTGAGAGAACAGAAGGAAGAGAAACCCATTGGTTACTTGCAAGGTGAGTCACGAAGTCCCTTGATTCCCAGCTGGGCGAGGTGTAACCGTCCTGCCGGGGGGGCTGGCAGTGGGAAGGGCTCGTTGCAATTCCTGGGGCTCCTGTTTCACAGTACGACAGAGAACAGGCCTGAGTCTTTACCCTGAACATTACACAGCACCCCTGGGTGCAGCTCAGAGGCAAAAAGTCCCCTCTCCTATGCACCCAGCCGGTGTCGAGCAGAGAGAGCCCCACTGTCGGGATTCAAGCACATCTGACCACAAGCGAAACTCTCCCTCCAAAGTCCATGGGGGGTCCTTGTGGCCAGAGGAGACCCAGAGCTCAGTCGTGCACCCGCACGAGTTCCCCTCCCCCTGAGAAGGGGCAGGAGGAAAATGCCAGGCCACGTTCACCCCGTCGCACTGCTGTCTCCTCTGCTTCCAATGGTCCTTTTCATAGAATCAATTTTGAGGGGGAAAAAGTATTTGTGGATGCAAAGAATCCCAGAATCCTAGGGCTGGCAGAGACCTCAGGAGTCATCAAGTCTCAATTTTGAGGAAAAAAAAAGTATTTGGGGATGGAAAGAATCAGAGAATCCCTGGGCTGGCAGAGAACTCAGGAGCCTTTGAGTGAAACCCCCTGCCCAAAGCAGGACCAACCCAACTAAGCCATCCCAGCCAGGGCTTTGTCCAGCCAGGACTTAAACACCTCTAGGGATGGAGATTCGCTGCAACTTGACACCACTGCTCCTTGTTCTGCCACCTGCCACTACACAGGAAAACGTTTGGCCTCTTAGAGAAATTGTTTTTCCTAATCTGCAACCTAGACCTCCCCCACCTCTACTTAAAATAACCGATTTCAGTCAGGACCAATGAGTGAACCAAGTTGCAAAAGCACATAGCCCATCGGAGGTTGATCTGCCAGCGCCCACTGGGCTTTTATACCAATGGTCCACCATCTCAGGAGAGCCCTATGTTCTTATGCCTTGATGCTATCGTGACTCCACAGAGGCAAAATCAGGACTTTTCCTTTTTATTTTCAGGTCTCTGGGGAAGTGCCCCTGGCTGCATGAAGGAAAACATAAAATATTTAATAGGGCCATCCGTTGAGTTGGAACAGGTCCCTCATGGAAGAGCCACCCCACCATTCTGTAGCAATGGTCCCAGTTCCTTACCATTCATCCCAGTGACCCCGTCTGCTGCCACCAGTCACTGCATTGGTAGCAGCATGATTATGAGCATTCAGAGCTGGAATATTTCCATTTCAGTTCCCTCAGATATTTTGAAATCTTGACTTTTTTTGAACTCCTGTTTGAGATGAAAACAAATTTCAGAATGTCCAAAATTTCCCATGCAAGTTCTGTTCTCTTGGCTGCTCTCCTTGTTTCCAATGGAACCAATGGTATTCAGTTACACCAGCAGAAGCCAGATCAAAATCAGGTCCTTGACACCTAGATTGAACACAAGCACAACTCCGTGCTGCATTTCAAACCCCTAATGAGATTTCCTAGATTACACGGTTCAGTAACTCTCAGTAGTTGTGAGAAACAACTCCTAACGCGTGTGTTTTGTTTTGTTTTTCTGAGATCTTATTAAGAAAAAATTCCAAAGTCTGAAAAAAACCCGGAAACATGCACATTTTGCAGCAGGTAGGTCATTGCATTTCTGGCAGGTTTTTCTTTAGCCTGAGGACTGCTCAAGGTCCTTTCTAGTTCGAGGGCGCTATGGTGAGATAGACTCCTTAGCCCTATCAAACTAGGGGTTGTGAGTTCAAATCTCACTAGGGGCTGCTCTTTGGGAGGTTGTGTCATCTCCATCGTTATTGATATTTAAGAACAGATTAGATAAATGTCCTCACTCAGCATGTTCCAAATTACCGTCAAAATTCATCCATTCCAAAAGCTTGTCAACAATTTAAATAGTGATCAACTGGCAGTAAGGAAAGTATCGTCAGGCCTACTGGGAAGTCATGACCAGCCCTAATCCCGAAGTCCAGTTATTAACGTCTGCCCGCCACACAACTTGTACCCAATGGAACCGAATTCTTCAGGCGCACTGAGAGTCTGCAAGATGAAAATCCTTTCCTTGGCGAGATCCAGCCACTGCAGCTGGATACGTGGATTGATCCCACCGTGCACAAATTCCCTCCCTAGAGCGGGCTCAGCTGCCGAACCCAACCGAGCTCACAGCTGAGCCTGTGCGGGGAATCCCTCCCTTCCCGTCACCGCTGGGAGCTCTGGGAAACCCAGCAACGGCAAGTCGGGCAGCGGGGCTGTGGTTATGTCTCCCCCGCCGCCGCCTGGCCGGGGGGGGGGGGAT